CATAATTGATACACAAAATTTTAACAAAGGATTGTTCATCAATTTGTTGTGCCAGACATGCTAAAACTTGAAGAAAATCTTCCCACACATAACAAGGTTGGACACCACTAGTTAGAAATCATATAGATACTCAAGATTAGTTTATAAGCCAAATAATTAAGTTTCTTCACTTTTACCAACTTGATTTTGAGTTGTATTTTGTTTATTCATGGTATTAGAGTAGGTTTGCAGTGGTTTGGAAAAAATCTCTATTTTGATTCGATGTGGATCAGCTAGAAAGTTATACATGACATCAGAGCGGATTTTTTGAGAGCTTTTGAAAGGTATCTATTTTGGCTTCAATATAATCCTTTGGTCATGAAGGCTGTCGGGGGGCTAGAGTTTATGGATGGAACAATTATATGATTTGGTAATTGGTGGTCTTTTCGTGCAATTGGTACACATTGTTATATTTCTAGTTTTGTCTTTTGATTATTTTATTTATTTCTTTATGATAATTCAAAAACGTCTTAAGCCTTCAAATACAATTTGAATATAAACAGATTTAGTATATTTACTAGTTTAATATCATTTCAAAATCTCAACAAATAATTTTGCTATATTGTAGAAATTCACACCAACAAAATATAGTACCATCATACATGTTTATTTGGAATAAAACAACAAACTCAAAGAAATCTCCAAAAAATAACTTCTTCTTTTTTTCGAGGCCTGTGGGGTGAAAAACTGATGGTGTTGTGCTTGCAAAAAGACCATGAGAAGAGCCAACATTAACCATCGTTTCATCAAGTTATATATGGGCTAGCTAAGTAGCTAACCATGCAACCATTGCTTTTCACTCATTCAAAAGAGACTCTTTTTTCTTGTCTTCCCAATTTTGCAACCGAGTCTTAGCATTCTCCACCTGAAAATTCAAACATTTCATAACTGCCATATATATATGATTAGCACAAGTTATTAAATCTGCTAAATATCTCTTTTTAAGTCTTGAACTATAGTGGAATGGATTCAGTTGGTAGGTAATCCACGAGAAAACTTGGCCCGGGCCTAAATGAAGAGTAGCAACTTACAATGTTCATGATCAAATGGACCATGACGTACCAAAAGGGACAATAGGGATCGCTATGAATGCTAGTGTATTCACACCAAAGAGATGCTTCGGATCATTGTGCAATGTCCTAATCACATGCCTAGTGTACGTCAATCTTGTCCTGATTAAGCAGAAAGACCCAAGCTTGCAAGTCGATGGGTCCATTTCTGCATGATGGGACATCCATTGTAAAAAGGACTTGGCTTGACAACAGGAATAGTGTTCATGATTTACCAAAGGCAAGTGGGTGCGTTGAATTTAAGGCAAATTCTATGTCTGAAATGCAATTCCTTGCAACAACTGAACAATATTACTCTTACCCAATCCCTTGCTAAACTAACCAACTCAATGTGGTCTGTTGTGTCATTAGATCTCGTTAACTTTTGTATTTTAATACCATCAACTAATCTGACCGTTCATTGTCCATTTGGTAGAGGACATGAAAGTTTTGGTAGGAGCAACATTACTCAGGAAATTTTACCTGTATTTTCCAGTCTGTCCTAAAAGTGACCCAAAGTAAGATGATGGTCTGCATAGCTGTGCCCGCTAACATCCCAGACCATATTCCCTAAAAAAATCTATTATCTACATTTTTTTTCCACACTAATACCATTTTAAACTAAAATGGATATCTTACTATATATGTGTGCCAATGTATGTGTGTGTGTGCGTCTGTGCTATGAAGAAAAAAGGGTGCACTATAAATGATGGAACATATGATAATGTGCTAAAGACTAAAGAAAGAAGCAATGTGTGTTTGTATGTGTGTGTGTGTGTGGGTGGGTAAGTGAGTGGGTGTGTCAAGTGGTGGGGTAAAAAGTTAATACCTTAGCACCAAGGTTGAATTTAAATCCAAGAACAAAACCCAGTGGTATACCAACCACGTAATAACATCCAACGTTCACGTATGCAACAAATGCTTGCCATCCACACCCAACAGCCACTCCTCAATCATTTCCCAAGCACATTCATATAATCTTCTATTAATAATCATAATCATAACATTGCACACACAAACGCATAGGGAGAGAGAGACAGAGAACTAACACATTCCATGACCGCTAGTGAGTGTCTTCTTTGTTTAACTATGAACAATAATATAGTAACAAAGAATTATTTTTTGATATTATAGCATTCTTACCATAGATTTTGCTTTAGTTTATTTGTGATCATTAAACTTGGTCCCTTGATGAATGGAATTTTTTTTAAGTAGTAGTGTATGTGTGTCATTGGAGGAGATCGATGAAACTTTGCAAGGATATATAGTATTATCTCATAAACTGAATGAAGCATAGGTAGAAAGGAAGTTCAAAAGGATGACAAGGTCCCAAGCCAAAGGTTTCAAAGTTTCAAACAAGACAAGCACGCTGATTCCGTTGGAGGAGTCGAAAAGAAAAGTTAAATCCATCAACTATGATGGTGTCATGTATGCATGATTGTTATATTTTACTAGTGGATGGAACCTTCCTTCATGAAAAAGCTGAGATATCCATGATGATTCATCAAGTGGATTTGCTTATATTAGTGGGAATCGATGCAAGCCGTGGGCTACTGACATTATAATGGAGAATGCGTATGTTTGGAGGGTTGCTTATTATTGCTGTGGAAACAAAATGGCAACGTTTTGTTAAGTGTGGTCCATGGTGAAAAATCTGTACGCCCAAGGAGACGAACGAATTCTGATTGTAATGGACAACTGTATTAGTTTAAAAAAAGCGAAAATTGGACAAAATGATAGGTGGTGATGATGATGGTGGTTGTTCATTATGTTTAATTCACTATTTGAGTTCACTGTATTTAAGGTCACATTAAACTAGCAATTTCATTCTATGAAAGTTTACTATTTTTGAAGTTCCCAGTTTATATATTTTTTTTAATATTTTTGTACTCACTAGTTTTTCATTGTTTTGGTGGTGAGATAGTGGTGGTTGGCAGCGATGGTAAGTGATGGCGGCAACGGTGGTGGTGGCGACGGGTGGTAGTGGTTGATGGCGAGGGTGGGTGGTGGTGACAATGTGGGCTGATAGTGGTTTGTGGCAATAGTGACATTGGTGAGTGGCAAGTGGTGGGTGGTGTTGGGCAATGACAATTGGTGACAGTGTTGGATTTTGGGTGATACTGGTGATTGGAGGCGGTGGTGGTGGTAGATGGTGGGCGGTGGTGGCAGTGGGTTGTGGTGGTGATGGGTCTGGGCGGTGGTGAGTGGCTATGACAATGGCAATGGTGAATTTTAGGTGGTAATGGTTGACACCAATGGGTGGTGGCATTTGTAGTGGACAATGATGGTGGCGGTGGGTGTAGACTAATGGTGGCGATGGGTGGTGGTGGTGGTGGTGGTTTGTGTGGCGTTTGTGGTGTTGGGTGGTTTTGGCAGCGATAATGGTTATTGACGGTGGTAAGGGTGGTGATGGTGTGCGAAAGTGACAATGGTTGTAGTGGAAGGTAGTGGTAATGAGTTGTAGTGGTGGGCGGCGGTTGGTAGCGATTGTTATGTTGGTCGTGGGTTTTTTATGAGGGAGGGAAGGGTGTTGGCGGTGGTGGAGGCTTTGGTGGCAGACGGTGATAGTAGTTGTGGGAGGTTTCAATGGAGGGGGGTGATAGTGGTGGTGGTGGGTTGTAGTGGTGGTTTATGGCGGCGATTATTGGTGGTGGTAGGTGTAGGCTGGTGGTTAGGATTGACTAATACTTAATATGAATCTAAAAAAGATAAATTAGATTAAAATTGATTAATGTTTGATATGAATCCAAAAAAGTGACACAAATATAACTCGACATATAAATATTTTCCAATACAAAGTTTAAAAAAACAATTCCGTACCATATTTAAGAAAGATTTTTTATGCATAAATCTTGATTTGAGCTATTTATGTTCATATGATTGTTAAAATAAAAAGATTATATAAAAAAACAACCATATCAAAAAATTATTTCATAACACAGAACTTTAAACTTTAACAGATTTAGTTCTTTTCTATTACTTTTTCACATAATTTCACCCAATGACAAATCCTTATTAAAATGCCCAAGTAGTTGTTTTGATGGAAGAGTGCTTTAGAGATATGCAGTGCTTAAAGTATTTGTACTGTGTGTAGAAACAGAAATGCTACACCGACTAAATTTTGAAATCAAATTAAAAACTCAAATGACATGACAATATATTATTTGGAGTCTTTATTATGGCTTAAATGATATGACACCAAATAAAAAAACTCAAGTCAACTGTCATATTATTTAAATTTTTAATTTAGTCTCATAATTTGATCACCGTAACATTACTGGGGTAGAAAAGTTAAGAAGGTTTGTCTAACCGGATAAATACTATTCATAAAGTCAAGTAAGACGGTAAGCAACGCAGAACTAGTAAGACACAAAAGAAGAGAAAGAAGAAGGTCATTATTCAAAGAAAAGAAAAGAAAGGGCTTTAGTGAAAGTAGCCTATGAACCAATAGTACCGGTAGTCAAAAAATTAAAAATCACTTTCTCAGTAACTTGAGAAGGATATTGTCAACTATTAGAACGTATTTTTCTTACCCGCTGGTTAACCAACTATTCAATAGAAGAAGTATTCTTTTTTTTCTTTGTTAGTTTTACGAAATCTTTTTCTCTTTAACACAGAGCAACACTATTATAAGATATAACTTTGTGGCAAAATTAAGTGCCTCGCCATAGACAAAGTATCGCAAAAACTTTCAATATTCTTCTTTATAATGCAATTAAAAAGACATTGAGACCTTATCCAATATATTTTTCCTTCATTTTTCTTCTTTTCATTTGCTTGAGTTTAAGTGGGATCCATTATATATATTATATATATCTAGATTTGTATAAAAGGACTTTTACATATATTATGCTACTTCCCCTATTATTCTTCAATGCACTATTCACTACTGAATATAAGACAAAGTTGAACTTAAAGGGGAGGAAAAGGGAGAATAATGACTTCATATGTAACTGACCTTGCAGCTGCATTGAACCCCACAGATATCATGAACTCCCATCCAAGTATTGTCTGGCTGTCAAAATAATAAAAATATTCAGGCAACAACATGGGGTCAGTGAATAGCATATTCAAACTAGGAAGCTGAGGCATTATATAAATGAGGATACATTTGACATCATTCGTAAATGTAGATATTTATGTTCCTCAATATTGTCTAGATATGATTAGATAAATCATACCTTAGTCATTTCAATTTATTCTCCTTATTCTTATTCTTAGTAAAAAACATTATTCCAAGGAACGGATCCATATGGAAAGCTATTGCTTCAGTATAGGTTTAAGTTCCACCCAAATACAAAAATATAAAGGAACATCTAACATGGAGAAAGTATAACATTACTATATCACACACTGTCCAGACAAAGAGAGAACATTTTTTCATACCGAATTGCCAGAGAGTCCAGTGCTATTTCAGGATTCGGAAGCAACCCAGCAATCAAAACTAATATTTGAAAGTACCAAGTCTCCAAGCACAACATTACAGCTGAGGCAGCCAATCACTTTAAGAAATCCCATAGTCCAGAAAATGCAAGGACACTAAATCCCTTCCAAGTATGCTTGCACCGATCACTAACCAAAATGTACACAAATTGTGCCACCACTATGATCCACCATGATAAGCTCAATACCAATGCAGCTCCTAGTAACCCCCACCCTAATCGGAACAACACTATCCATGTCAATAAAATGTGTAGAACCAGTGTGGCTAATGAAATATAGGCACTGGGGTTCACAATTCTCTGCGCTTGAAGAAATTTTTGGATTGGAAAATTGGCTGCATATGCAAATATTTGTGGGATGAGACCATAGGTGAACAATGCTGTGGCCGAGGCGATTGAAGGTGATTGGCCTAGTAAGATCAAGAAGGGCTTGGAGAATATGTAGAGTAGAGTATCAGAAGGATTAACCCAGTTGCCATGAGTAGAATTGTTGACCTTTGAAGATATATGCCTAGCATTTCATATTTATGTGCTCCATATGCTTGGCCACACAAGGTGTCAACTGCACTTCCCATTCCGAGCTGCAAGTAGAAACCATCACAGAGACATCAATTATGATTGTTTATGGTTGTCTTCATTAAATATAGGACTTGCCTACAGTACCAAAGAAATAATTTCAGAAATAGTACCTCTAACTTTTACCATTTTAATGGGTGGTTTTACAATTTTTATGGATCATTTTATAATCAAAATATTTATTATTTTTTTGAGTGATTTATTATTTTTATGAATATTTTTACCACTATTGTGATTGTTTTTTACCACAACAGTAGAAATTATTTTTATCAGTTTTCTTTAGTACAAAAAAAAATTGTCACATTGGTGAGTATTTTTATTATATTTGTGAGTATTTTTACCACATTTATGGATATTTTTATTACTATTATGGTAACTATTTTTACTATTTTTTTGGATACCATGACAATGGTAAAAGATCTCACAAATATGGTAAAAATAATCACAATTTTGGTAAATAGAGGTATGGTACTAAAATTTTTATTTTCGGTACCGTAGTGAACTCCTTAAATATATGAGCAATGTTATTGACACCTAATTTGCTCACCTAATTTATTATAACTTTTGGATTCACTGTAGGCCCTGTCAAATGTTGAAACTTATTGTTGATTCAATGATTCTTATGAAATCACATTTTTATACCAATAAATTAGGTTAAATTTTTAAATGCAAATAGCACCATTCTAAATATATATCTATGTATGCAAGTGCAAGTTTATATTTCGAATGGGGTTTGGATTGATAAAAAGAAGAATTCACTTCCACAAATATATCATAGGACTCGTACACAAGATTCTAAAGGCGATAAAAGCATATGCTCTCTCTCTCTCTCTCTCTCTCTCTCTCTCTCTCTCTCTCTCTCTCTCTCTCTCTCTCTCTTCCACAAGGACTCGTACACAAGGTTATTGAAATGAAAAAGGAGAATTATATTAACACCTCTCCCTTGGTTATGTATAGAGTATGCAACTATATATACATGTTCACAAAATGTTGCATACCTACTTACGCATGCACATTAATAATTATTATCACCTATTTTGATGTTAGTTAGTTATATACCAAGACACCATAGGCAAAAAGTTGAACACCATTGTTGCCAAGAGAGGAAGCAGCAAGTTCAAGATGGCCGAGACGGCCACAGAAGATCTGGGTGGACATAGAGGTAACACTGTTGAGCAAGTAAACCGTGACTGTCGACGCTGCAAGTCGGAAGAGGGTATCCAGTTCTAAGCACCCAGCTCGCCGGAGACGCCAGAAGTACGATAACTTGTGTCGGATAGTACGTCTTCGAGCTCGGAGTTTGGCTCCCCCCGTTTGTTCTGTAATATGGGTTTGGTCTGCAACATGGGTTGGTTGAGGCCACCATCTTGAGAATACTCCATTCTATGTTTTCTTCACTGGCTCTCTTGCCCCTCACTAAATATTAGCATAAATTGGTAGTTCTTTTATACAACAGTAATGCTACGCTGCAAAGACAAACTTTTATATGGGCCTAACCACACTGTCGCATGCCAGTTGTTGTGAGGCCCATGCACTGCAGTTTTGGAAGGAAAAAAAAAATGAAGTATATGAAACATTAATAATTAACCAAATTATGATCGTAAACAATATTTGAAATACATCGATTTCAAATTTTTTTTTCTTTCATCCAACAAAATTTAGGCAGGTAATCTCTTTTAGAATTTGATTCAAACTCTCTAATTATAACGAAAAGAGTTTATTTTGTGAGAATCCTAAATCCAATAGTAAACGTATTAAAAGAGTCCTAATAAATTATGAATAAGTTTATTAATGGCGTGATCGGAAACATAGAGATTTAATACTATTCAAATTGTATTAGGTTATAGTATTTTATCTTTATAAATAAGATTAAGTATTAAATAATCAGTTACCAATTTTTTAATTGTTCAGTAAAAGGGTGATATTTGAGCTCGTGTCTGACGCAAAGTGATGAACCTTACCCACTGAGTCATCCGTTTGTTCACAATGGAATTCAGCACTTAGACAATTTTTGTTTTAATTCCAAAAATTTATTTAGAGATAAGAATGACGTTTGGTAGCAACATTTAAGAAAGTGTGGCGATTACACATATTTAAGAATATTATTATTGTCGAGAAAACTATATCGTCGTTGGGAATAAATGTTGCGAATAAATTAATTAAAAATACTGAATAAGAAAAATAAAACATTAACAAAAATAATTCAAAAAATGGATATAACCATCGTCATGATAGATCATACATAGAATGAATTATGTATATTGTTCAAAAGTGTTATTCCCTATAGAGGTGTTAACACAAGGATTAAGAAAACAATAAATAAAATCTCCATGATATATGCTACATTTATCAATAGATACAAATATATATCAATTATGTCTTGTCCCACTCACTTTTACGTGCATATTTATCAATCATGTCTTTGTCCCACTCAGTCTTTCTCACTTTTCTATATATAAACATGTTTTTTCCGCTCAATTTTATCTCTTTTTTCATCTTATATATGAACTACACTTCATTATCGGCGTTCTATTTTTTGGTATCGTACAAAAAAAATAGGAGTCACTCTAATTAATAGACATATGTCCACTAAAAAGTATATAACCCATGAAATTTCACTTCAAAAAAAAATTATTTTCATCCAAAAAGTTATAACATAACCTCAAAAATTATAACAGCACCTAAGAAAATTGTAATGTCACCCAAAAGTTGGTTGTTGCCCACCACCATCATCGACAAACTCAAACCCCGTTTGTGGTCATAAACATCTCACCACATCCTTGATTCCAAATTCCCTCCATCAGCTTTTATCTGCAATTCACGTTAACGTCTGAATCTAATGGAATGTGCTAATTAAAATAAATTAAATAGTTTCTGGGGTAAAATAAAAAAAATTAAAAGTTGAGGGGGCAATTTAAAACAAAGACTAAAATTTAAGGGTCATTTATGTGGTTTACCCTACTTTTAAAAGAATGACAGTTATAAATGATGCAACCACTCTTTCTTTTTTTCTTTTTTTTTGGTTAAATATAAATTAAGATTAAGGGAAAAATATAATGCAAGATGTATAATCAAGCACGAAGGCTTGATGCACCTCGGAAGACTTACAAACTAATTCTCACACTCCCTAGTCTATAAAATGTATAAACATAATCAATATCTTGTTTTTCCTTTGTTGTCTCGGAGAGCGATATTCTGTATTTATCGTAAACAGCTCTCAATCATTCGTTTCACTAAACTTGACCCCTTTTACTAAGAAGATAAGAACAAATGTAATTATTCCTATCATTTGTGTCTTTTAATGACAACTTGTGCAGAAGATTTTCTTCTCATTACTTTCCTGTAAGACCATGATCTATATCCTTGAAACATTTTTTATAATACAAATTTTGTCGAAGCCAATTCCAAGTAATGTTTATCCATCTCTGACTCATTAGAGACAATACTGTCTAAGTTCATCTTCTTCGTCAAATTCTTCTTTTCTTCCTCTGCCACCTGACCAAATGGTTGATACCATAGTGAGATATTCCATTCCAAAGACATTGTATGTATGATTAAAAGAGAGGATGAAAAGATATATATAAATCAAGCCATCTTATTGACTGGCCTACCGAACCTAATTGGAAATTGTTTCATGACAAAAGGGAAAATGCATGCATGAATTTTCTGTGGTCATGAAAAATGAATAGCAAGGCGACAAAAACAATTATCAATCATACAGAATTAAGTCGGCAGGACGGGGGTGTTATTGCCCACCAGCATCATCTCAACAAACTATAGCCCCTTTGTCACCGTCATAAACTACTCTGACACATCTTTTATTCCCTCTAGAGTAAAATTTTGGGCATAGGCCACCAACAAGTCCGAAGCCCAAAAAATCATGAGGAATTAGAGGAAAGCTCATTGGTCTAACCCGAAGTGCCTCCAATCAACCCATGACAAAGAGTTGGAAGAGCAAGGCCAAACGGGCACCCGAGGGGCAGTGGTTCAATCCCGGCCCAATTAGGTGTCAATTAAAGGACAATTCGAAGAGAAGGAATCGGATCTTTGCCTCAGAATCACCCTGCCATGCCACGAGTCGAGAGGACAAGACGACCATCTCTAAAACCTGCGATAGCTACATCCTCCATCACGCAGAAGATGGTGGAGCATAACGTCCCAGAGATCGTGAGCGCAGTGGCACTGGCTGGAAAAGGCTTTTGCAGGATAAGGACAAGAAGTCTCCACATAATGGAAAAAGACAGAAAGAACCGCCAGAAACCACAAAGAGAGACTACCCATATGTATATAGAACAATGCCCTACAGAAAGGGGATCCCCCCGGAGAACATTTATCAACCGTATTCATTCTCTAAGAAAAACACCAACTCCTGTAAGGGTCCAGTGCCTGAATCCCGACTGTATACATCGGAGTTTTAATATATAAAATCAAGGAGCAAGAGACTCTATTACAGTGGACGTACCCTTGGTCTATCGGCTGAGGTGAACCACTTATCTTCTTTGTTTTCTCTTTGATTAGATAACCCTGTTAAGAAATGTAAGGTTATTTTGTTTATTAAGGGTAGAATAGTCCTTTACTTTCCCTGCCTTGTTTAGCTTATATATAGTCTCTTTGTATTTAGGTTAATTTACTTCCTTGTATTCAATTGAATTATGCATTATCAATAAAACTCTAACCTCCTCTTTTCTTTTCTCTTGTATTTTTTTAGATTATTCAACATGGCATCAGAGCAAAGTTTCATGGGACAAAGCTTAATTTCAAACACAGTTTACGCAGATCGAAGTTGTTCTTGTTCCGTTTAAGCAATCTGGTATTTGTTCCATTTTTGCAATCTGGTAGTTGTTTCATTTTTTGCAATCTGGTATTTGTTCCATTTTTGTAATTTGGTATTTGTTCCGTTTTTGTAATTTAGTTTTCTTTGTTTGTTGATTTCGGCTACTGCAAGAAACGATTCGCTTCAGTCTATGAGTATGAAGTTGGATGGAAAGAATTATTCGTATTGGAGTTATGTGATGAGAAATTTTCTTAAGGGTAAAAAACTATGGGGATATGTTAGTGGAACTTCTGTGAAACCTAAAAATACTGATGCGGGTTATGCTGATTTGATAGATGTCTGGGAAGCAGACAATGCAAAAATTATTACTTTGATCAACAATTCTGTTGAGCATTCTATAGGTACGCAGTTGGCAAAGTATCAGACAGCAAAGGAGGTCTGGGATCATCTGCAAAGGTTATTCACTCAATCAAATTTTACAAAGCAGTATCAATTGGAGCATGACATACGAGTTCTTCATCAGAAGAATATGAGTATTCAGGAGTTTTATTATACTATGACAGATCTTTGGGATTAATTAGCTCTTACAAAATCGACTGAATTTAAGGCATGTGGTGCTTATATTGCTCGTAGAAAGTAGCAACGGTTGGTACAATTTTTAATGGCACTTCGTAGTGATTTTGAAGGATTTAGAGGTTCAATTTTGCATCGTTCTCCACTTCCTTCTGTTGACTCAGTTGTCAGTGAGCTATTGGCTGAAGAGATACTTCTTAAGTCTTATTCTGACAAGAGAATTCTTTCTACTTCTGATCCTTCTGTGCTAGCAGTACCTTCTAAACTATTCTCTCATAATCAGAATAAGCCTTACACAATGTCTGCCTTCGACTAGTACAGTTTCTGTAAGTAGAAAGGTCATTGGAAGGCTCAATGTCCTAAGTTAAGACAGCAGAATCAATCGCAGCAGCAATCTCAAGCTTGGAAGTCTGGCAACCAGTTACAATCTAATGCTCCTAGACCACCTCAGGGTTACAAACCACCACAGTCTAATACTGCAGCAGTAGTTTCATCAGGTCCTTTCACTGATTCTAGTACCTTGGCTGAACAATTTCAGAAGTTTCTCTCCTTACAACCACAAGCTATGTCTGCTTCTTCTTCAGGAGGTCAGTTGCCTCATAATTCTCCCGGTATGTTACATTCTGTATGGGTCTTGGATTCTGGTGCTTCACATCATATATCTCCAGATTCTTCATCTTTTGTTTCTGTATCTCCTTCATCTTCTATTCATGTTATGACTGCTGATGACACTCCTATGCCTTTATCAGGTGTTGGTTCTGTTGTCACACCTCACTTTTCTCTCCCTAATGTTTATCATATTCCAAAACTC